CGCTCTGCAGGAGAAAGACTGGCCTTTCTACTCCCTTTCTACAGTCTCAGAAGCTCACAGGGGGTCACTATGAGTCGGCGTGGACTCAATGGCAGTGAGGTTTGGGTTTGACCTTTACCTCTAGGGCCTCCCATTCTCTTTAGTGATCTCTCACCCAGTTTCTCTCTCCAGTCATCCACATCCCAGGACACCCCACCCCACACTCTTCCAGTGCCGAGGGTACCTGCTCCCCTTCACGGCCCACTTCTCTCTGGTCCATCTGGGTGGGATCTGGGAGGACGAGTGAGCAGCTTTTTGAGGATGGCACTTAGCTCTCAGTAGATGGAGCCAGGAACATGAGTCAGGAGCTAGGGTGACCCTCTCGTGACTCGGCCCCTGCCCTTACAGATATGTCACCCTGCTTTCCTCTCGCTGCCAGGTCCACGATCTTACAGGTTGGTCCTGAATCTACAACCGGGGGACAGCTGATTTAGCAGAAAACTACCAAAACATTTAGTGTTGATGTGTCTGTCTGTATACAGTGCAATGTGACACTGGGGTGGGTGCTAGACAAAAGGTCAGTGGTTTGAACCTACCAGCTATAATGTGGGAGAAAGATGAGGCAGGCTGCTTCCTTCAAGACAACAATGTTGGAAACCCCACTGCGAGAGTCCACTCCAGCCCACAGGATCTCTGTTTACCGTTGGTTGTTTTATGAACAGGCAGTCTTGGGAAAAACACAAATGTGGATAATGATGGTCTTAACTCAGGTATTAAGTGTACCTTGTGAGATGCGCCTGTGGGGTGACCATCAAGATGATTTGTGACTCAACAGAGTTGAACTCAGGAGAGCTGCCCCATAGGTTTCCTGCTCACCAATGCAGACCATGCGTCTTGCCCTCACAGCCCCGGGCCAGGTTCCGACCACCAGCACGTTGGTCAGCACTGAGCGCTCAGCCATTGCACCATCGGGACTCCTTTTCCTGTCCCGGGACCCCTTGCTCGTCATAAGATTCTCAGTGGCTAACTTTTCCACAGTGACCCACCTGTTTCTTCTCCCTTAACCGGTCTGAGCCTGGAAGCTCCCCTGAAACCTGTTGGTATTTTAAATACCCGAAACCTAGCTTTCTACATCACAGCAACACAGGAGTCCCCGCACCGTCCCATGCCCCAGAACAACGAAGGACAGAACTGGGTCTCAAATCACAAAAACAAAGCAAAGCTTCACTGCTTTCCCGCTGATGCCAAGCCATAGTGACCTACAGGACAGGGCAGAGCTGCCCCTGTGGGCTCTCGAGACTGTAACGCTTTACAGGAGTCAAAAGCCCCATCTCCTGCTGGTGGTTTCGAACTGCTGCTGGCCTTGCAGTTGGCAGTCCAGTGCATGACCAGTACACCACCAGGGCTCCTTGGAGACTCTCGGTCGTGGTTTAAAAGAACAACGTCCAGCAAGTCTCTCCCAGCAGCTTTTACTTAAAGTTACCTTTCAGAGCCCAGCGCCCGACCTCTGTTCAGAGAGAAACCACTCATCAACTATGTATGGTTCTGAAACGATGGCCCTTTCAGCCTCTCCCCAGTGTGATGCTCGTTTTAGACAATCTATTTGTAATCTTATTTTAGACTCTGCTTGATAGATTTAAGCAGGGATGAACAGAATTTTTAAAATATATATATATTCAGACTAATGAAAATAAATTTGAGAAACCTGAAGTTTACCATTTGTTTTGTCTTGAACCCCACCTGCAGCCCCACCCCTCTTAGGGATGCTTAAGGAACCTTTTGATGTGTGGCTGTCTTCAACCATGGCCCAGGGTGGTGGTGGTGGTGGTGATGGTGGTGTGAGTGGGGAGTCGGGGTGGGGGGTGGGGAAGTGGGGGGGCTCAGTTTGAAAGGGGTGATTCCTTTAAGACCAGATGAGTTGCTTGGCTTTCTGGTGGCTTCGTGTTCTTCTTCAAGGTCTTCTTCAGCGTGGACATCCCAAACCCGGGAGTCCCCTCTAGTCTTGTTCTTGTTCAGTGCTGTGCGGCTGGTTCTGACTCACAGCAGAACAGAGCGTGGCCGGTCCTGCGCGTCCTCACAGTGGTTCTTATGTGTGAGCCCATCGTTGCAGCCACTGTGTCCACCCATCTTGTCCAGGGCCCTCCTCTTTTCGGCTGACCTTCCACTCTCCCAAGGACAATGTCCTTCTCCAGGCCAGCCCCTCCTGTAGCCTTAGTGACTCACTACACGGACAGGGAGCCCCGTGCCGTGGAAGGTCCCGTGCTTCCTTCCACAGCCATTCCAGGAAACACCGAGGGACAGAGTGACCATTCTCTTAGTTTCAGTGTTTATGTGAATTGGCTTTCTGAACCCAGAGCCCCTGTCCTGAGTCGGCTCTGACTCACAGCCACCTGATGGTACCCGCTGTGGTTCAGTGGTTAAAGAGCTGGACTACTAATTGAGAGGCCGGCTGTTCGTCGTGCCCGTCGCTGGCTCTGCAGGAGAGAGCTGAGGCAGTCTGCTTCTGTAGGGATGACAGCCTTGTGACCCGCAGGGGCAGTTCTACCTGTCCTGTGAGGGTCGCTGTGTGTCGGAATGCACTCGATGGCTGTGGGTGGCTTCCAGAAAAAGTCCCAAACTCCAAATGTGCACAGAAGTCCGAGCCATGGATTCCCCGTGGTGAGGGAGGAAGTGGGGCTGGAGTCACAGAGGAGGCAATGCTGGAGTGGGTCCTGGAAGGAGAACTCAGACTGACGTCAGCAGAAGGGAGGAGAAAGGCTTTCTGGGTGGAGGGTCCTGGAAGGAGAACTCAGACTGACGTCAGCAGAAGGGAGGAGAAAGGCTTTCTGGGTGGAGGCTGGCAGAGCAAGGGCTGCAGGTGTTGAGCCGTTGCTAAGAGGTGCAGGGACTGCTTGGACGTCCAGGGTGGCTGGGAGGCCAGTCTGGTGGCAGAGTGGAAGAGAAGACCATGAACCTGACTTCGGAGCACAGAACACTCAGAAGGTCTTATGCCTTCACTCTCTGATTACGTTGTTGTTGTTTATTCTAGCAACTTCTGCTGATCGCTTTTATCGAATAGACAGATCTCAGGTAAGTCCTGGGTGTCAATGTGGCGAGTTCCCATACTGCTTTTGTTTCTTTAACTTAAAAAAAAAAAAAAAGATTTATTTTGGAACAGTTTTATTGAGACATAATCTATATAACATGTAATTCAATAGTTCCATCCTATCGAGAGGAGTTGTGCAATCATTACTACAAGCAATTTTAGAACATTTTCTTCTTTCTTGGACTCCTTGGGATTTATTAGTTCCCCCACCGCCCCCAGCCTCCTCTGCCATGCTTTCAAGGGACCATGAAATCCAGTGACTGTCTCTATGGATTCACCCACCCTGGGTCTCTGACACCGGAAAACATACAGAGCGAAACAGAAACAAAATGGCTAACAGCAATAGCAACATAAAATAAGAGATGGAACCTCAGTCGAAAAGAAAGCAGAGTGTTGGAAAGTAGATGCTTTAAAATGGGCCCTAAGGGAGCTCAGCTGGTGAGGGGTTACATCTGCCGTGATCCCCTTCCCAGCCAACACTGTGTGGTAGCAAAACAGTCCGCATCCCTGGTCTCTGTTCATCGGGGATTCATCCCAAGTCTCACTCCTGACGCAGTTCCCCTTCACTTTTGTGTTGTTGTTGTTCCTATTTTTTCCCCCATGTGGAAACAGCTATACATTATGGAATGACATTTCCAGCCTGCCCTTGAACCCTTGATCTCTTATGCTCGTCTCTAGATTCAAGATGATGTAGCTTGATCTTGGAAACCAGACTAGAAACATAGGTAGGCTTGTAAACACTGTCACCAACCTGCCCTTCAGCTGCCCGCCACCCCCACCCTCATGCTGGTTCTTTAACCCACACCCATACCTTGCTGGTTCTAGTCATCAAGTACGAGAGCACAGGTGCGTGTCAGGGTGAATAGGGTCACTTTATCACCACTCAGCGATCAGTAACGAGAAGGAGATGGTTGCACCCCATGCTGACATGTGTCCCCAAAAGCCTCCTGTAAAAGAACAAAAGGGTGCCATGTTGAACCTAAGTATTAGACCGGTTGCTCACCTGACCCTTAGCCTGCCCGATCCTGGGGCCGAGTCCAGGTGGTCTCGCACAGGTGCGCACCGTATTGTGTGTGCGGTGCTGCTTCTCCCAAACCTTGGTGGAGAAGTAAGATCACCTTTGGTGATAACCGAATGACTTCCAGGTCAAGTAGGAATTCTGAACTAACAGGGACTCACTCAGCTGTCCTCCGTGCCCACCTATTGGCACAGAGCAGTGTCAGAGAGGGGCTGGCCATTGGTCACACCCTCACAATGCACCTTGGTCAACAGACAGGCCCCAGAATTCCAGTCTTCCTCAAGACCAGCAGTGCTTTGCTGCACGATCCCTCGGAGGGTGGACCCTGCCAGTGCTCGGACGGCCTGCTTTCCGTTTCCTTCCGTAGGAACACTTGCACTTCGTGATGGAGATTTCCCAAGATGAGATTTTCATCCTGGACCCAGATATGGTGGTGCCCCAGCAGGCAGGCACGCCTCCGGGGATGCCCGACCTGGTGGTGGAGCAGGCCTCGGGGTGAGTGAACGGTTCTTTGCTGGTGTGGGGGGACAGCCGGGCCTGGCTTGGCCGTGATGCCCGCGGGCCCTCGGGTCATTCCAGAAGACACCTTGTTGTGCTTCCTTACGGCGGCCGGCGTGATGGTGAGGAAGCACTTGTTCCACTCAGATTTGCATCTTGCCTGAGATCACTTTACCCACCACACCCACGCTTCTAACAAACCCAGGAAACACCACCACTCACCTTTGTGCGTATGTGTCTGTAGACCTAAGGCCCTCTCCACCGCGTTGTTTCCGATTCATAGCAACCCTGTGGGAGAGCGCAGAACTTCCCCACTGGGTTTCTAAGGCTGTAGGAGCAAACTACCTCGTCTCGCTCCCTTGGAGTGACCGGGGAGCTCAAACCACTGACCTTTTGGTTAGCCACCTGAACCCCAAACTCCCTGCCATCACTCAGTTACCACCAGAGCCCTCGTGTATGTCTGTAGCCACCATGCCCAACTTGGCATTTGCTTTTCTCCCTTCCTTTTGCTCCTCTTCCATTTCCTCCTCCTGTTGGCAAGCAGCCTGGCATGTCTAGCATGCATAACCCTTGTTACTACTTTTTCTGAGCGAAACATTGTGCTAAATGCCTTTCCTGTAGTGACTGGTGACTTACCTGTTTCTGTCTAAGTGGCTGACACCTGGTAGACACTAAGTATTAACATTATCAAAAACACTATGGCACCATTATTCCTCACCTACAGTGCAGATTTTACCCTATTTGCATCCCAAATCCACACAGGTGTACTGAGGCTGACCGTGGAAATAAAGATTTCCAGAGAAATGTGAGATGGGTGCACCCCAATAGCACAGTCTGGTTCACCTATTCCACCCGAACCAGCCCCTTCACTTGAAGTAGCTCCTCTCCGGGTTTACCCCAATTCATTCACTTCTCCGACTAACGCTTGCTTTTTCTGAGTTTCCCTCTCGCTGCCAGGGTCACCTGTGGCTTGGGCTGAGCTGGGGGTTGCCTGGAGCAGTTCTTTCCCTGTGCTTAGGGTGGCAGAGATGCCAGGGTTGCCTGGCAGGCAGGGGCAGGTGACCAGGCACAGGAGTGGCCTGCTGGAACCTTGGATGTCACAGAGGTGGCAGAAAAGGTCAGTTCCCGGGCTGTGTGCATGAAATCCAACCTGAGGCTCTCGAGGAAAGTGAGCGTGGGAATGCACCTTGCTTGTTAGGAAGTCTCAGGTGCGAGGGTGTGCGTGTACCCTCCCCCAGCAGCCCTGGGCTCCAGTGAGCCCACCTGTGTTAGTCCGGGTAGAATAGAGAAACAGATTCATGGACACACATATGTGTGTAAGAAAGAGGTTTACATACAAGAGCAGTTGTATATTGAGAAAACATCCCAGCCCAGTCCAGATCAAGTCCATAAATCCGTGATTAGCCCATATGACTGATACCGATCTGTGAAGCCCTCTTCAGACTCACCACATGGAAGATCACAGGCCAATGGGTGCAAAGCCAGTGGTGGTAAAAGCATCTCAGCGCTGGCAGGGGTCTCCATGGGGCTGCTCCAGCACCCAGGGCTGCATCAGGGTAGGTCCATGTGGCTTCTCCTCAGGGATGTCTGGCAGGAAGTGAGCAGAGAGAGTGAAGTGTCTCCCGCCTCCAAGGAGGAAAAGCCAGATTTCCCAGAATTCGTAGAAGAAAGCTATGCCCACACAGAGGCCTCATTGGCTGTGATCTGATTGACAGACTAGACTCCACCCCTCCACTCTTAATCTTCTCAAGTCACAGATTGACACCAGATTATGTAACTCCTACACCACCCTACCCCTTGATTGGATGAGGTGATCCTGGGCTGACAGATGGAATGCACACTTGGGGGGACCACACCCCAAATGGACCTTAGAGATGAGGAGGGCGAGACGTAAACTTGCTTACTCTGGACCCATCTTTGGGAAAACCACCGGTTAGAAAAGGGCATCTCATTTGGCCAGAGCCAGGGCGATCGAGGGACCCCCTCCATGAGATGGACTGACACAGTAGCCTCAACAGTGGGCTCAGGCACGCCAACAGTTGGGGGGCTGGCACGGGGCCTAGCAATATTTCTCTCTGTGGCATGCAACCAGGATTTGGAGCTAGCAAGGGCAACCCCGCCATCACCTTTGCAAGCTAGGCCTAGCCTCTGTCCTCCCAACCAGTCCCTTTGTGTCAAACAGTGACAGAAGAAGTTACCTCTGTTTTCACTCCAAAGATAGAATCGCCTGAAAATCCACCAGGACAAGAGTCACTCGTTTTCTGATCCCGCCTCTGTGGCCCGCTCGCTCGGGCAGTCACACGGGGCGGGAAGGCTGAGGGTGCCCACGGTCGCAGCTGCGCTTCTGTGCCAGGCTCCCTTTCTCCTTCACTCATCTCACACGGCCGATGCGTCACCGCACCTTGGCATGCGGGTTTCTCCTCTGTGAAAGGGGCAGAATCGGCACGCAGCCCGCCGTTTGGCAGCCTCCCAGGGGAAGCAGTGAGCAGAGCGCTCGTGGTAAACAGGCAGGCATCGCCGTCAGTCTCCTCTCCAGAGGCAGGAGGCTCCTTGAGGAAGGGTGGGGTGTGTCCTCTGGATAAGTGTGGACACTCACCTGCCGGGTGCCCATCTTCCTCCCTCTCAGGATGTCCGACTGGTGGAACCCTGCCCTGCGGAAGCGTATGCTGAGCGACAGCGGGCTGGGGATGGTGACCCCGAGATACGAGGACTGCGATGGGAAGGATGTGAGCCACCCGCGCGCACTTCAGTAAGGGCCCTCTACTCTTCCCCCGAGCCCCCTGTCTGATGCTGTGAGTGGACCCCACCCAGAGCACAAACCATCGGGAAGGTTCTCAAGCTGGCCATGTCTGTGTCACTGGGGGGCTGGGGGGACGGACACTCTTTGTACATTGCTTGCGAGTGACCACCCCGAGCTCCATCAGGAGCTTCACCTCCCACGCCGCTTGCTTGGAAGCCAACAGGGAGCTGAAACTCGTCAACCTCCCCAGCGTTTTCTCTCCTGGAGCGCCGTGTTTACCAGATGTCCCGAGGAGGTTGTCTTAGGATGAAGACCAAGCATGATGGGGATCGTGGAGGGTTTGGAAATGGACACAAGGTTTTTCATATATGTGGACATGCTTCCTTGCCAGGCTAGCTCTGTTTCGTTCATCTTAAGACCTGAGCCCCTGAATTCAGCCTCAGTTCCATCATTTTGGCTATTGTGCTAAATATACATGTAACAAAGGATTGGCTGTCACAATGTTCTTTGTGTGTACAGTTTAATAATATTATGATCATCATGCTACACAACCATCCCAATGATCCATTTCCAAACTTTTCCATCGCTCCTAACAGAAACGCAGTGTCTCTTTAGCAAGGACTCCCATTTCCTCCAACCCTAAGCAACCACTATTAAACTTCAAAGTTCTGCCTACACCTGCCTGGTCTAGATTTCTAGATGTTTCGTCCAAGTAGAGCCACGTAGTATCTGTCCTTCCATAAGATGATGTTTCCAGGTTCATCCGTGTGGTAGCTTCTATCAGGATTCCAATTCTCTTCAGGGCGGAGTGATACTGCACAGTAGGGCCGGACCACCTTGTGTGTGTCCAGTCATCTGTTGATGGACATTCCAACTGTTTCCACCTTTGGGCTCTTGGGATGAGTGTTGGTGTGAATGCTGGTGGGCAGATTTCGGTTGGAGTTCTGGCGGCGCTCAGTTCAGTGCAGGATTGCCACGTGGTGCTGTTGGCTGGTGTGGAATCAGAGGGGTATGCTCTGTCTGGGTAAACAGTGTGCTGTTCATTGCTGGATGCGGAGAGTCGGTGGGCTTCTTCCTGAGGGCTGGCCACGGCCCGGGTGTAGGATATCGGCGCTGAGCAGTCCTCTGTCCTGTCTCCCCCCCCTCCCTCCCATCCCAGCAGATCAGATTCTACAAGCCGTCTGTGGTCAAAGCCATACTCACTCAAGTGAAGTATGTTGGAAACCTAGTCCCATGCCTGGCTTTTACCCCATGACACCTATAACGATATTAAGGATTAAGGTCGAGTATTACGTAAACCAAACCAAACCAAACTCACTGCCATCAAGTCGATGTTGACTCATAACGGCTAGGTTGCTAACTATTAAGTAGTCTTCCCAGGCGTCACGAATCACCTTGCTACTTTGTATGGTGGCCAAGGGCTTAAAACCCCACAAGAAAACCCCATTTTATGTTTTGTTTGGGTTCTCTCATCCTTTCAGGAAGTCATCTGAGTTTTCGATTGATTGTCAGTTGGCAACTGTCGGTCTATCTCAGTGGTTCTCACCCTTCTCATGCCGCGACCCTTTCAGACAGTTCCTCGTGTTGTGGTGACCCCCAACCATCAAATTGCTTTTGTCGCTACTTCATAACTGTAATTTTGCTACTGTTATGAATGGGGCGACCCCTGTGAAAGGGTCATTCGTCCCCCAAAGGGTTCGAGACCCACAGGTTGAGAACCACTGGTCTACCTGGTGGCTCTTTCAACGACCTTGAGCGTTAGCCATTATATCACAGGTGAGTACATTGAGACACCGAAGTTAGAGATGGTCTTAGGTCACTCAGACAGCATGAAACTTAATTGTGGTTGGAATCCAGGCCCAGTGGACTTGCGACACCAGGTTTTCTTCACTACACTTTCTTCAGAAGGGACATTGCAAAGTATTAAGTCACGGACATTTGGCAATGTCCAGAGACTGTTCCTATTTCTTTAGTATTTGTAACGGGGCAGATTCTATACTATATAACATATACATATACATAGGAAGACACGCTGGTGGTGTAGTGGGCTGCTAACCATGCATTGAGCTGCTAACCACAAGGTCAGCAGTTTGGATCCCCCAGACGCTCTTCTGGAGAAAGGTGAGGTTGTAAGGGTCTACAGTCTTGGAAACCCAAAGGGAACTACTACTTTATCCTGTGGGGGTCAGAGCCCATTCAACGGCAGGGGGTTTTGTTTTTATTTTTTTGATGTATGTGTGTAGTCATTATGTGTTAGCCTGGCGTCTGCATGGTCGACAGTTTGAAACCACCAGCAGCTCCTCAGAGAAAGACTGGGCTTTCTACTCCTGTCAACAGTTAACAGTCTCAGAAACCCACAGGGGTCACTGTCAGTCAGAACTGACTCGATGGCAGTGAGTTTGTTTAGGCGTGCACGGGTGCATGCATATGTGTGTGTGATCTGTGTGTCTCTGTGTGTAATATATATATGTATATGTATATATATGTGTATATGTATATATATGTGTGTGTGTGTATATATATATATATTCAGAAGGAGCCCCGGGCATAGTGGTTATGTGTTGGGCTGCAATTCCGAAGGTCAGCAGTTCGAAACCACTAGCTAGTTCCTCTGGAGAATGATGGGGCTTTCTACTCTGATAAAGACTTACCGTCTCGGGGACCCAAAGGGGCAGTTCTATCCTGTTCCATAGGGTCCCCTGGTCCCTGTCCCCCTCTGTGGAGCAGGCCATGTGTGTCATTTCAGTTGGGCCCAGTGTTGCCAAACTTACCTTCCCCCCAGCAGTATCAGGTCACTTATAAACAAAAGGAGCCTGAAAAATCACTGTCATGGTTTAGGTACAATTGGCACCTGTTGCTTTTAGCTTTAAAACCCAAGACAGCTTGGAGTCGGGGAAAGGTCCTGCCTAGCATTCTTCTCACATGGAAAATAGCCCGCCAAACCCAATTAAATCAAAAGCGAAATTTTAAATGCTTTGCGCCGACAACCCTCTTTGCCAGAGTTTGCAGAACACCGTGACACACGGAGGACAACATGTAGCCCCCCATCCATTTATCGAGGGGAAATCAATTCCACGGAGATCAGCAAAGCATTCAATTGGACTCACTGGGGACAGAATCCCAAGGGTAAAGGGCCAGAGAGGAGACAAAGCAAAAACTAAAGAGAAGGATGGAAAACCAATCGCCAGGAGAATGAAAGCAAACAAAATAGACGATGCACCAAAAATAGCAGCAGTAAACGAATCATCGGTTCTCTGAAAAGGGAAACAAGCGAGACCACATTCTGTGAATGGGGCGCCGAAGGAAGACAGCCCAGGCTTGCCCATGCCCACCCTTCCTCCAGGGCCTCCTTCCAGCTCTGCCCGAGACTGCCTGTCCTCGTCCCCAACTGCCCAGCCCCACCCCTGGTTTCCTGAGTGCTTCCTCAGCAGGCCCCCCTTTCCTTTCTCATTCCCTCCAACCTCATGGAGCATGAGAGGGGATCAAGAAACAGGCGGTGGTAGTCGGGCGTCATCCGGGGAGCTGGTTCCCTTTCTAGGAAAGCCCCATGCAGATACAGCGCGTCCTTCTTCGAGAACCACGTGGTGAGGTGTGGTCTCACAGGGGCCACTGTGTGCTGAGATGTAAAACTGGCCCCACCCGGGAGCCCTGGTGGTGTCGTGGCTCTATGTTGGGTTGCCAACTCCAAGGTCAGCAGTTTGAAACCACCAGCTGCTCCTTGGGCGAGAGATCGGGTTTTCTATTCTTGTAAAGAGTTACAGTCTCAGAAATCCACGGGAGCCTGTCCTGCCCTGTCCTGCAGGGTCGCTATGAGTGGGCATCAACTCGATGACCACGAGGGTTTGGTGGCATCTGCAGTGCTGACCCATCATCTCAAGAGGACAACCCTGAGCCCTTTTCTCCTTCCAGAACCTCAGACGTTCTGGGCTGAGGGGAGGAGCACCTTTCTCTGTGGGACATTATGCGACCACCTGAATGGCCTAGAAAGGGTGATTGTGCTGATCGCCAAAGCTGCAGGTTCCCAACAGGAAGACAGACCCTTGGGCAGCATGTGGTCAGGAGGATTTCCTCCAGGGCGTCACATTCAGATAAGAGAGAGAGAATTAATCTTCTTAGTGGGTGCAAGTTTTACAGAGCCTACATCCTTGAAGTGTCACCGGTGCTGTGAGGCTAGAGAGAGCCCCTGGCATCTGGATCACTCAGATAGTTGGGGCCCAGCCTCAGGTACCTCAGACTGCTCTCAGCCTTGTTCTCCCTGGCTAACACTCACACTGGAGGAACCGCAAGAGCGCTCCCTCTGAGCTTCTGTCGTCCTTTCTCCCTGCCTTCCCGCAGGCTCGTGTTGCCCGTTGGAACCAAGCCCACAAAAATACTCCGTCCCTTGATGTGTGTCAACTATTTCATGAGAGATTTGTCTCTGGTCTGTTTGGCCTGTGGATAATCTTTCCTCAAACAGTCATGGCCGCAGAGGCTGTAAACTGCTGGAGGGAATCAGAGTTAGATCCACATGCCCACGCTCAGAGTCCCAGAGAAGCACTCCCAGTGCACCAGATCGTATTTTGAGCCACGTGACACCGTTTTAAAAAATTACCCAGTTCAGTGTGTTTCCCTATTAAAGATGGGCCTGGCATGAAAGGCTGCTGGAACATTCTGGACTCCCATTTCCATGAGGTCTACGTTTCAGCCAGTGATTCAGCCTTAGGAGCTCGTGTTCCTACCAGCCGCCCTCTGTGTTCATTGTTAAAGATGGCGGCCCTCCTGCTCACCAGTCCAGAGGATGGTGAGTGTGAGAAGCAGCAGGCTGTATCCTTTCTTAAAGCACGTGAGTTACTTGGCACCATACATGCTGTAAGGCTTGTTGGTTGGGTGGAAGAGTATTGCATGAGGAAACGGGACTCGATCCAACTCAAATGGATGTGTCTGCTTCTGTGGCTGTCGTAGACCCAGTGTGCATCGCTTGTAGTAAAGCCATGCCTCCAATGGTAAAGAGTTTTGTTCGGCTGCAGAGC